GAAGAGAAAAGCAGCAGGGTTGGTTAGTTAAATTCGGTTCAGGAACGTTAGGAACAGAGCCACTGGCTTAAAAAGGAACTGAAAAGCTTCTGCTGATAAAACCATTTCAGGCTCCGAGTCAGCAGCAGCTCCACAGGCAGCGCTGCACCTCCTGCCTGCACCAGCATCTCTCACACCACTGACCCAGCTTTTCCGTTCCCCTTTGAAGCCAGCGCTGGCCGGGGTTAGTGGGAGGCGAGACACGGTGTTAGTAGGGCATGCGCTGGCCGGTTAGTGGGTTAGTGCTCAGCACCCGAGCGAGGGCAGCATGCAGAGCCCAGCCCAGCACCCTGCCCAGGGAAGGGGCTGCTTGGATCCAGGGGTCTGGGTCCCCAGGGCAGGAGGTGCTTGCACTGCAGGGAGGGTGGGGAAGGTGTTAGTGGAGGGTTTAGCCTGTGCCGTGGATCCTGCTTCACAGGGGTCTGCCCCGGGCATCCTGCACCCCGAGCAGCCCGTGCCCCACACAACACGTGTCTCCCACCCCCAGCACTGGAGAAGATGGGCAGCAGGGAGAGGCGACCCCGCACTGCACTGCAAGGCTCCGGGGTAAGGGAACTAAAGGAGCCGGAGGAAGCAGGGAAGGAAGGGGTGAAAGCATCACTGCCGGTGCCTGTGTGAGGCTATGGCAGCTCTACAAGAACAGGGCTTTGGCAGAGACAGCAACGGGTCTCCAGTGAGCTCCCACTGCCTGAGGGGTAAAACCAGGACATGGAGCAGAGGAAAGCCCTTGTCCTGCCGGCAGTGGCTGAGCAGTGCTCATTGCAGGAGCAGGAGCAGGCTCTGCACCGTACCCTGAGAAATAAGGCTGAGTAAAGGGGCAGCCACGTCACCCCATGGCCCTCTGCATCACCTCCTCCTGCAGCACGAGTGCCCTCTGGTCCCCATGAGGAAGCCTCTCTATTTTGGACTTCGAGGGGCTGTAACGCCTGTCACAGGCTGTGCCTGCCCTCAGCCCTCCTGCCTGCTCAGGGGATGCTCCCTGGAGCGGGCAATGGTTGCAGTGATCATATCCACTTATGGGGCCACTGTCGCCCCACACAGCCCCACAGAGGCCATGCCATGGGCACCTTGGTGCCTGTGTCCCTCCCCGTGCTCCCGGCTGCTCCATACACAAGGTGTTTTCTCCAAGCAGAGCAGAGACAGGGCCCTGCTGGGACACGGCACTGCCAGAGCAGAAAGCACCAGGGATTTGCTGACAGAGGGACAGGCAGCAGCACTGGGAACAGCCCCGGTCCCTTTGTGCTCTGGCCATTGTGTCTCCTTGAGGAGCTGGCACAGCTCCTCTCCCATCCCATTTCCCTTCTCCCTCCTCACACACTGCATTCAGTGAAGGGGATGGTCTCGTCCTGCCTCGTCCACTGCTGTGGAGGGTGCATGGGGGGCCCCGTGCTCTGGGTCCGGCTGGGATGGAGCAGCAGGAGGGAAGGGGACCAAGGCCCTCGTAACAAACCGCGCTGCAGCCCCGTGTCCTCAGGTGTCCCCAGCGCCGCCTCCTCGGCCGTGTCCCCCGCAGGGCCCGGGTGCGTGGCTCCAGCCCATGGCCACCAGCACCGGGGTGCTCTGTGCCAGCCAGCCCAGCTCCAGCATCCGTGCAGGGGAAGCGATGGTGGTGCCGGAGCCCCGGGTCCCCTCCGGGCACAGGGCAGGAGCTGGGGCTGTGCCCCTGGGGAGCAGAGATGCTGTGAGACCCTGGCAGCAGGCGGCAGCCCCTCCCCACCTCTGGGCATGTGCGGGGTCACATCCTCTCATGGAGGTGGTCCTGGGGACGCCGTGACCCCGTGGACCCACTGGAGCCTGGAGAGAGCCCGTGATGGGGTCCCTGGGGAGGAAGGCCGGCTCCCCGCTGCCCAGAGCCCTCCCACGTCACGAGGGGACAGCAAGGGGCTGGCACCATCCGTGTCCCCCTCCCCGGGGTCCTACCTGTGGTGACCAGCTCTGCGGGTGCTGTGCAGTGTCCCCCTGTCCTGTGTGGCTGCTCCGCCGCGGGGGCCGCAGGGGACTGTGTGTGAACAGACCTCAGGTCAGTCATTAGCAGCTGCAAAAGAAAGCAACCAACGCAGCAAGGGAGAGCAACGCAGAGCCGAGGGGAGGCATCGAGCTGGGGGAGCCTGGCGGGAGGGGCAGGCAGAGCCTCCCTCGGCTCCCCATCCCTGTGGGATTGAAGCCCCAAGGCAGCATCCTCTGCTCTGACCCCACCACTGCTGGCAACGCTCCTGATCCCCACAGGGTGCCCGGGCTCTGCCCAAAGCTGGGGCAATGGAAGGGCCGGATCCCTGCTGAGGTGAGTAACTCCAGAGAGGACGCCTTCAGCACTGGAGCGTGGGGAAGCGCAGCATCCAGGCAGCTCCTGAGCTCGCAGCTTGGGGGGGAAACTGGGAAGGACCACACCAGAAATGGTGACAATGCCTCAAACCCTGTCATTTTCTGTTGATGGATGTCCCTGCATGGGGGGTAGAGACTGCCCCTGCCCCTGCCCCTGCCCTGCGGTTTAACTGGGTTGCACTGGCAGCGGGTCCCGGCGGACTGGGTTCGTGATGACTCTGCGGTTCAGCCACCTCCTGCTTGCTGCCCGTGGTCCATTGTGGCTGCACGTCGCAGGACAAAGCCTCCCATGGGGCAGCCGGGGACAGCCCGTCCCGGCAGCATTCGCAAACCAGCTGCCGTGGGGCTGGGCAGTGACAGGCACCAAACGGCCATCGAGCATCTGGCAGATGGGTTCCCTGCCTGGCCCCCGCCTGTGGTGGGGCAGTGGGATGTGTGTGCCGGCTGAGGGCTGCAATGGAGCTCACCCCGGGAGAGCAGGGGGAGAAAGCCAGTTCTGTGCAGGCAGCACTTCACCAAACACCTGCCTTACGTGTGGTGAGCGACCGCCGGCCCTGATCTCCTGCCATGGGCTGGTGGCACGTAGGGTGCAGAGCACACCACAGTGAAACGGGCTAAACCCCCCCTCGAGTGAGGAGGAGGAGGATGGAGGGGAGCACTGCAGGCAGGAGCAGGGAGGTGAGGGCAGCAGGAAAGCTGCATGTGTGCTCCTGCCACACTGCAGGCACAGTGCTGGCTGCTCCACTGTGGAGATCTCTGGGATACGGATCCGGACACCCCAGATCCCACAGGATGGGCAACGTGGCCCTGCCCTGGGCCCTGCCCGTCCCTCGCTGCCATGGGTGGCTGAGCCCCGGCCCTGGCGCAGCCCCGGCTGCGGTGCTGCCGCAGCGGCGGAGGCGCTGCCTCCCTTTGTCTGCAGCTCTCAGGCTGGGCAGCCCCGGGAGAAGGGGGATGGAGGGGGAGGAAGCTCCCTGCAAAGCCCAGATGCGGCTGAAAACCTGACGATGTCGGGGCTCCTCCCGGCTCCCCGGGGCAGGAGGTGCTGGCACAGACAAAAGGCAGCGAGACAATGAGGGCAAGAAAATGGCTCCGAGCAGGAGCTGAGCAGCACCTGCCAGGGAAGGGCTGTGCTTGGGGGGCTGGCCCAGCCTCTCCTCTAACCCCCTACCTAAGATCATCAGGTGTAGGAGGAAATGGTGGTTTCAAGACAAAGAAGCGAGCCAGAATTTGGCTACGTTTCCTTCCAGGAGCAATGAGGCAAGAATCCATTTACCTGTCCCGAGCCCTATTCCTGATGAGGCTTCTGAAAAATAAAATTCAGATACAGACAAGCGGAGCATCAGTTCATGCCAGCGGGGCCGGGGCTGCCGGCGGAGCCCGGGGGGACCGAGCATCACCCCGCAGGCCGGGACCACGCTGACCCGGCCCCGGCCCGGTGCCCGTGGGGCTGTGCCCGACGGGGCCTTCGCGTGGGACCTGCTGTTACCCATGGAATTGGAGCAGCGAGGGGAGGGGATAAAGCCTTCTCCTTGGACCGAGCGCAGTCGCGCGGCGATGCCCGCGGCACCGGCGGCTCCGCCTGCACCCCCCGCACCCCAGATCCCTCCCGGAAAGCACCGGAGGAATCCCGGCGCGGCCCTACCTGGCTTCCAGGGCGGGGGGTTCGGGCCGCCGCCTCCCGCTCGCTCCGGCCGCTGCGCAGCGTCTGTGTGCGGGAGCGCCCCGGAGGAGCCGGCCCGGAAACCCCACCTCCATCCCCCTCCTCCATCCCCCTCCTCCACCCTTCATCCCCCCCTCCTGCATCCTCCATCCTCTCTCCTCCTGCCTCCAGCCTCCTGCCTCCAGCCTCCATCCTCTCTCCTCCTGCCTCCAGCCTCCTGCCTCCAGCCTCCATCCTCCATCCTCTCTCCTCCATCCTCTCTCCTCGTGCCTCCATCCTCCTGCGTCCATCCTCCTGCGTCCATCCTCCTGCCTCCAGCCTCCATCCTCCATCCTCTCTCCTCTTGCCTCCATCCTCCTGCCTCCATCCTCTCTCCTCCATCCTCCATCCTCCTGCCTCCATCCTCCTGCCTCCATCATCCTGCCTCCAGCCTCCTGCCTCTATCCTCTCTCCTCCATCCTCCTGCCTCCATTCTTCGCAGCTGCCAGGCCCACACGTTGCTCTCCTGGCTGTGTGCTGGCCTGTCCCTCTGCACCACTGCAGGCAGAGCTGCTTGCTTGCCTTTGCCTTGGGTATGGGAGGTGCTGCGGGGCTGGTGGGTGCTGCAAGCTGGTGTGAGTGCAGGGGTGTGCATGGGTGCACCAGGATGGGTTCTGCAGGGCCCCTGAGGATGTGTGGGTACAGCAGCCAGGCTGACCACTGTGTGGGATCAAGCAGGGCCAAGATTGGGCCATTGCACCTCACTGCATCTCCAGATGTGAGCTGGGCAGGGGCTTCTCCTGCCTGCAGTGGGACATGTGGATGCCTGCGCTGGCTGCAGGGGGAGAAAAGGATGGTTGTCCCCCCAACCCCAGAACACAGTCCCTGCAGGGCCCCTGCTCTGTTCTCAGGCACAGCATCACCCCCAGCCACACGCTCCCTGCACCCCTTCCCCAGTGCCAGCGCCTTGGACAACTGAGTCTTTATTGAGCTTTGCCCCTGCTGCCCCATGGTGGACACAGTGCCCAGGGTGTGCGGTTGGTGTCACGGTGGCTCCGGTGGTCACTGCTGGACCCTGCGGATGGACTGGACCTGTCCTGTCTGTGCATGGGAGCCCCACTCCCGCACACGCTTGTACTCGCCGGCGTGGCTGTCGCTCTCCAGCAGGTACTGGAAGCCACGGTACCCCGGGAACTGCGAGCAGACCCACCTGCGGCAGGCAGAGAGCGGCGGTCAGTGTGGGCATGAGGCACCGGAGCATCCTCAGCTCCAGTGTGTGCCACAGAACCCCAGCCTGGTTTGTGTTGAAAGGGACCTTAAAGCTCATCCAGTTCCACCCCCTGCCACGGGCAGGGACACCTTCCACTAGAGCAGCTTGCTCCAAGCCCTGTCCAACACCTTGTTCACTGCCAGGGTGCAAGCCGCTGGGTACTCACGCGCCGGAGCGGACAAAGAAGGAGCCCACGGCGCTGCCATCCCAGCCCAGGGCGGGCAGCGAGGGGCAGTCATCGCTCAGCTCCCCCCGCTTGCCCTGGAAGTTCTCCTCCTCAAAGAGCATGAGCCTGCTGCGCCCGCGGTCCTGGCACAGAGAGGGGCACGGTGTTGGTGCGTGACCCCGGCCGGTGATGGGCTCCAGGACCAGCCCGGCAGTGGGGAGCCGGGACGGGGGCACTCACGGCGCAGGCGATGGGGCGGAAGGAGCACATCCTCTCCACGTGGTAGGCATTGCTGCCGCTCCACGCCTCCCAGCACGGGTACTCGCCGCGCTCCAGCACGAACTGCTGCCCCTGGAAGCCACAGTGCTCGAAGCCGGCCCATCTGTGGGGCAGGAGAGAGGTGAGATCCCCACAGCACCTACCACCCCGCTCACACCCACCACCCCGCTCACACCCAGAGCACCCCGCAGGGATGTGGTCATTGCCTGGAGGAGACAGCCCCATGGCTTGGGGGGCAAAAGACCCTGGAGACCTCCTTCCTCCAACCCCTCTCCACCAGACCACGGGGTCCATCCCACCCAGTCCCCACTCACGCCCCGCTCTCGATCTTGCAGGAGCGGACGGTGCTGAAGCCGTGCTCCGCGGTGCTGTAGCAGTCGGTGGTGAACTCGTGCTTCTTGCCCTGGAAGAAATCCTCATCCCACACCACGATCTGGGGAGGACGGTGGCAGTCAGGGGGCTCCGTGGGGCAGAGGCCCCAGGCAGACGCTGCAGCCCCGTGCACAGGGGTTCCTGGGGCTCAGGAGGTGTCACCAGTCCTGCTGATGCTCCCATACCTTCCATAGTCCAGAGGAGCTCCTGCTGTGGTGGGTCATGGTGGCTCTGCCAGGGGAATGGGACCATTAAAGCCTGCCCAGACCCTGCATGCTCCATCACTGCAGCAGTGTGAGCATGCTGCCCGAGCCCAGGGACACTCCTGCTTCTCGGGATGGGACAGGGCAGACTCCTGCTCCCTGCTCCCAGGGATCTGTCCAGGCTGACCCCTGTGTAGTAAATTCTGGTGATCCAGCAGAGCCAGGAGCACTGCAGAGGTTGCTGCATGTCCATGCTGAGCAGCAGCACCCTGCCATGGCCAGCGATGTCCCCTGGTCCCCCACCACCATTCCCAGCGCAGCCATGTGTGAAAGCAGAGCAGTACCACAGCCCAGCCCCAGCTGTTTCCCATCTCCTTGTTTCCCATCCTGGCCACAGGACCCAGCCCCGGGTCCCAGATCCTCCCCTGTCCATGTGGTGCCCCCAGGCTCCTGTGCTTACCTGTTTGATGCGCTGGTGCCCGGGGGCTGACATGTCCAGCAGCCTCGCTGGGTTTTTATAGCCTGCAGCTAGATCAGAGCCCAGGGGAGCATTATGGAAACCCCTAACTCAGCACATGGCAGGAGGAGGGACCGGGCAGAACAAAGGCGATGCTGCAGCGATGCTGATGAGCTGGGACACCAGAGCTCCTGCTGCCCTGACCCCATGGACCACGGGCTCTGCCCATGCCCTGTCTGGGAGGGAGGTTTCCTCACCTGCATTGCTGGGAAGCAGGAGGAAAGCTGCATCTCCAGCTCATCTGCTATGGCAGAGCAGCTCTCTGTGAAAGCAGGGCCAGCTCTTCTGCAGGTTGAGCCCAGCAACCATAGAGCATCATAGTCAGTGGGGGCATGGCGTGCAGGAGAGCAAGGGGCAGGTTTGCAAAGGCATTGGGGGGGCTGCAATGCAGATCAGGACTTGGGAAGTGCTGCAGCCTCCTCCTGCCTCTGCACAGGGACCTGGGAAAATCCTGCCTCAGCCACACTTTGGGTACCTAAATACCTTCAAGCTTTGCTCCTGGTGACCGCCCTCAAATCATGCCGGGGTCATGCAGGGCTCCAGGGGCCGGCACCCTGCAGAGGCACCCACAAGCAGGGCAGCAATGAGGCAGCAGTGAAAGGAGACTGCTGGGCCCGGTGGCAATTCCCGTGTTCCCAGGTAGGGCTGTGTTTTGGGACAGTGTTTGCCAGGGATCTGCGGGGTGGTTGAACTGGAGCATCCTCCTTCCAGCCCCGGTAGCCCCGGCACTGCAGGCTCACATGCAACCGCCTGCAGTGGGGGGTGTCCCCAACATCTGCACCCCCAGCAAATACGTGTTAGGCACAGGCTGATTGCTGTGGCCCCAGCTGAACCCAGCTTGGTCATCAGTGCAGAGACTGCAGCTCACTGCAGTGTGTTCCAGCGCCAGGATGTGGTTGTGGGGAGCCTGGGCTGTGGCTGGTGTCCCTGTGGTGCTGCCCAGCGCCGGGCAGGTGATGCCGCAGCAGGAGTCTGCATGCAGTGATGCAGCAGCAGGAGGTGTGCATGCAGTGCTGCAGGAGGTGTACACGCAGTGATGCAGCAGCAGGAGGTGTGCACGCAGTGATGCAGCAGCAGGAGGTGTGCATGCAGCAGGACTCACCAGGGCAGAACAAACTCCTTGTGCTGGGCAGGAGCCTGTGCCAGTGCCTGTGGGGCTGAGCTGTGTCAGCTCCAGCCATGCAGTGAGGCTGGGGCAGCTTGTCCCTGGGTTTGAGCTGCACCTCCTCTCTGTTCCTCTGTGCCAGGGTGGGACAGGGCAGCGAGGGAACGATGCAGGATGGGATGGTGCAAAGGCTTTCCAAAGCCCAGGGCAGGGATGCTCAGCGGGGAAGGTAGAAGGGATCAGTGAAAGCTTTTGGTCCAGGATCCTGGAGAATGGCTCAGGGGGTGCAGTGGGATCCTGGTGGTTGGCACTTGAGGGGAGTGAAAGATGATGGCAAAACTGAGGGCTCGGAGCTTTCTGGATACGCAGACCTGGGTATTTTGCTGCTGCCAGTGGTGAAGAGGCAGCCTGAGTGCTGGTGCTGAGGGAGGCTGCGGGTATTGGAATGGACCGGGAGGAAACAAGCATGTGGGTATTTACCCAATGCACAGGATCACAGCAGCAAACAGGGAGAGCAGCGGCTGGAGGCTCACTGGGAGCTGGGGCAAGGTCCCCCCGAGGAGTTCCCTGCTGTGGGGTGCAGGAGATGTGCTCCTGCAGGGACAGTGCTCAGTGTGTCCCCAGCCAGACACCCCATGGCCCTTCTGCCACTGTGACAGCATCAAGGCACCGACACCTGCCCGGGGTTTGGTACCACACAGTTCAGTGATGGCAGAACTGGGGATGGGAGAGAATGAAATGGGCTAAACCCAGCCAACATCCACGTCAGGGAGCATCCTCCACAGAGAACACCGCTTTGAGGGATGGGGATGGTTTGGAAAGTGTCAGCTTCAATTACACATCATTTGGGAAAAAACCCAAACCAACTCTCGAAGCGTCTCAAAGCACTTCAGTTGCGTCCTGGCATCTCCAGGGCAGCGCATCGGCCGTCTGTGGGTACGGGGCGATGTTCAGAGTGAGACATCCAGCATTGGGAGGGGAGAGACAGGCAGAGTGTGGCTGTCAGAGCGGGCACCACACAGGCACGGGGCTGATGCACCCTCCCGGCTGCAGCAGCACCAGAGCTGCGTGCCCATGTGTGTGCAGCGGGCAGGGAGGGCGGCGTGCCGGGCTGCTCCGGGGCTATATATGCCCTGTCGGGGCGGCCACACGTGAGGCACAAAGTGGCAGGGTCAGGTCTTCTGTTGTGCCACGGGCACAAAGGAAAGTGCTGGGTTCAGCGACTGGGCACGGGGCCGGGGAGAGGCTTCCAGCTCGCCCAGCGCTTTGCAGGATGTGATGACTGGGCGGGCGCGCAGACACTGATGAGCTGGCAGTTCCTTTGTGCGCCCGCCCGGGGTCTGCCCTTGCCAGGCTATAAAGTGGGGGCCTCGCTGCGCCCCAAAACACAGCCCGCTCACTCCAACAAGAACCAGCAGCTGCCCAGGTAAGAGGACACAGTCACCGGGCTGCAGCCGGACCCGAGGCGGGGAGAGGGAAAGGCAGGGGCTCAGCCGTGGTCATCACGCTTGGGAGCATCCCGAGCTCAGCATCCCACTGCCCTTCCCTATCCCAGCGCCACTGCTGACCCCCGCCTGCTACTGGGTGACTACTGGGGGGCTCAGCAACCCTGTCCCACCTTCCTACCCCCCGTGTCCCTGTCAGGGTCCCTGACACCTCCTGTTTAGGATGGTACCAGCGCCCAGCCTGGCCATTGAGGGCAGAGACCAGCTGGTCCTGGGCATCCCTGCAGCGGTGGGACCATGCTCAGGGCATGAGGAGAGTGTGGACACCCAGCACCTCCCAACATCCTCCAGACGAAGGCAGGGCCACTGCCTGGGCCTGCAGAAGAGCCCCCCAGCAGCTCCTGTCCTTGCCCCAGTTCCCACCCCATTGCTGAGCCCCCCATCCCAATGTGACAGACCCGAGGGCAGGGTGGTGGGTGCCCACATCCCTGCCTCCCCTCTAACCTGCTGCTGGCACCTCTGCCTGGTGCCCTCCCTGTCGCAGACTTGAGCCCAACACCGCGATGTCTGAGACCACAAAACCCGCTGCTCCCGGCCAGGCTGCGGAGGAGAAGGAGAAGGTGGCTCCTGTGCCAGCTCCATCCCTCGACCCTGCTCCCATCGCTAACAGCAAGGGTGAGGAGCCCTCCACAGAACCCTTCAGGGTAAGCCCTGCTGCTCCCCACGCGCGGGGACACGGCTGGGGGTGAGGGGTGGTGGCAGCATCTTTGGGGTACTTGGGCAGAAGGAGATCTCTGGTGTCCCGGCAGGAAGGATCCTGCTCCGAGAGCAGGAGGGGAGCAGCTTGCGGGGCTGCTGCAGGAGGGATGCTCTGGGTAGCTCTTGGCTGGGATGGCTCATTGAGGACCACAGGCTTTGGAAATGCTCCCCCCAGGTCTAACATTAGGGGTGCCTCTGGTCACCTCCCTCCATGCAGGGGCCCAGAGCTGCTCCAGATGCTGGGGAAGGAGGCTATGAGTGACAGGGCCAGCATCAAACCACCAGGGTGATGCCAGGGCAGCGTGTCACCAAGGTGCTGCAGCAGGGCTGGGGACGAGCAATGCAAGGGCTCTGGTGACATTGCAAATGCCAGGCAGCAAAGGCCATGGGACAGATGCAGCTCCTGGAGAAGCAGCTCCTTCCCAGTGCGGCCGGGGCTGATGTGGGCAGGGTCCATGCAGGGACACGCAGCACTGCCCTGCCCTGCCCTGCCTGTCCCCATCCAACCCTTCCCCTCTGCCCCAGATCATCGTCTTCGAGCAGGAGAACTTCCAGGGCAGGCAGATGGAGTTCACCACCGAGTGCATGAACCTGGCGGACCGCGGCTTCGACCGGGTGCGCAGCGTCATCGTCACCTCTGGACCGTGAGTGACCCTGGCCATGGGGGGCACCATGGCCATGGGGATGCCCTGGGGAGGTGGAGACGTGGTCCTGGGGAGCAGCCCCATGCACAGCGCGATGTGTGGGGGCATTTCCTTCGGGTCTCCTTTGGGGGGTGCTAGGTGGCATGGGCAGGGGGAGGATGCCAAGGCCATTTGCAAAGCAAAGGGCACTGGAGTGAAAGGCAGAGGCCAAGGACAAGCGTCCCTTAGATCTGCTACCTCAAACTGACCATGAAATGTGACTGCAGATTTTAAAGAAGCCAGGGTGAAATGATGCGGGTGCCTTGGACCAGGCTGGTGGCCATGGCCAGGGAAGCACCGTGCCTGGGAAGGCAGCACAGCGGTGGCAGGGCAGCCAGTGCTGTGAGAAGGATGCACGGGACACAGCTTGCCCTCACACACTGGGCAGGGTGACCTGTGACCACCTTGAATGACACCAAGTAGCACCAGTAACAAGTTCTTTATTGAGAAGCCAAACCATCCAACTCTTCTTGAAACAGAGGGTTGGAGCAGCCCTGAAGGAGCTTGGGTGTGAGGGGCAGGCAGCAGCACTCGGTATGGAAAGGGTGGAACAGAGCACTTGTGTGTCACTGGGGTCCTCGGAGTGTCCTTGAGAATCAGTGGTGAGACTGCGCCCACAGATTTACTTAGGGAAAGAAAAGCAGACTCAACCAAGCTGAGCCTCAGAAGTCAGTGTGTGGTTGTGCTGCCTGTGGCACCCGAGCATGGCTCCTGCCATTAGGAAAATACGTGTTGGTGCCTGCAGAACAGGTACAACCCCGTCCAAGGGGGACGTGGGGCTGTTCTGGTGCCACGGCTTTCGGAGCCCTGTGTTCGTGACCTTCACAGCACAGCAGCACGTCGTGGCACTGCTGAAGAGGTGACATTGCAGAGGAACAAGCCCCTGGCGACCGCACACTGGGAACAGGATGAGTGCCAGAGCTGGCTGCGGCGCTGCAGCCAAGCACGCAAGCGTGCCAGGATTGCACAGCCTGGGCAGCCCTGGCCTGGGCTCCCTGGGGCAACAGGGAAAGCAAAGTGATAACGCAAGGACCAGTCCGTGGTGAGCAGCGTGCGGGGCTCACAGCAGCTTCCTGGGATGAGCAAGGCCAGCACCATGGGCATGCTGGTGGCTGCTGCAGGCCTTGCATGTGTGCACCAGTGAGAGCCTGACTGCTCAGTGCTGCCAGCTCTGCACCTGCCATAAAGGAGGAAGCAGGACGGTGGGACCAGTCCCAACACCCGCAGTCTCTCTGGGCGCTGGGAGCCCGGGTCTGGCACCCCACAGGCTAAGCAGGAGCAGAGCTGCTGGTGCACCTGACCCACGGTCTTGTCCTCCCCATGTCCCCAGATGGGTGGCCTACGAGCAGGCCAACATGCGCGGGGAGATGTTCATCCTGGAGAAGGGAGAATACCCTCGCTGGGACACCTGGTCCAGCAGCTACCGGAGCGACTGCTTCATGTCCATGCGCCCCATCAAAATGGTGAGTGGGGTGGGAGCAGAAGCACCCAG